TTCTCTATTTATAAGCAACACATGTCATGGATATAGTTAGACTACATCTGCCAGCTTGTCTCTGAGAACCTGAGTTTACTGTTGATCTGGGAATGTCCGAATACTCTCAGCTCTTCATCTTCTCTTCAGGGTTTTGTGCTTTGTATTATCAGTTAAATGCAAATGGGAATTTTACTAACTGGCTCTGTTTTTTTCTCTTCTCACTCTCTTTAAGTTGCATCTTTCTGTCTCTGCTTCTGGACATTTTGTTCCTAATAGACAAGCCTGGTTATGTTCTCATCACACCCCACAGTTTCTGTAACGTGTACAGTGAGTGTTTAAGTAAACAGATGTGACAATGGAAGTCAGAGCAGTGGATGTCAGCAGGGAGATCTGGGAAGGACCATATGTTGGTGAGGGAGCTTCCTCTGGAAAATAGTGCACAGTGAAATTGTAAAGGAAATATCCCAAAGTTGAGATCAGTTTGTGAAGAGAGGAAATATGTAAAGGTTCAGAAAATAAACACGTAAGAGAACAATTCCACCAAGGCAAGAAACAACAGTGTTGACATCCAAGTGTTAACTATGGGTCAGTGATAAATGTACAGTATATGTGTGTACGTTGGGTGTAAAGTAGTTGCAGTGGTCAAGTCTGTTCACAAGGAAGAAAGGAAGCTATAAAGGATAAAATGGAGGCCATCACAGGCGGTTAGGTGTGTGTGCATGTTTGGGGAGGGAGTGTACAGAAGTGCTCGGCACAATGATGCACCACTGAGTGTAATATTAGACCAATCCTGAGTCATAGCCGACTCGCTCCCCCGGGTGCTGCTGCTGCTGCCGCCCCACACTGCTCCACCCCAGCTGCCTCTGTCCATCCATCCATCCCTGTTCCCCCACCTAAAAATAGACCGCTGGTCTCACTGACGAAAATCCCTTAACCTATCTTGAACACACACACACACACACACACACACACACTGGAGTTGGTTGGCCCCCTCTCTCCATGGAAAATATTCCTCTGGATGAAGCACACTTTACTGGAGGCTGCTGGATGACGCAGCTAAAACCCAGGAAGTGATCGGAGTTCTAACTATGAGCTCAAATAGAGAGCTCTGTGTGTTTGTAGACACAGAGCCTGGGCCTGTATGCCTTGCAGCCCGCAGGTCTGAGCCTGCAGAGCTGATTAAGTGAAATAATCAGTCAGATAAGATTGTTCCAGTGACACAGACAGTCAGGACCAAAGTCTATAGGTACGACTGAAGACATAACTTCACAAAGTAAGATAAAGAGCTTTGCATACTGCTGCATCACCAGTAGACACATTTTGCATATCCTGTCTCTCTGCTTGTCTCTTAGTGGCTCTCACCGAGGAAAGGGGGAGGGTGAGCTCATTCTGGGGGCATCGGGCCTAGATTACAAGAACCCCAGGTTTGACTCAGCCGCGTTTTGTGTCCATGTGAATTACTGCCAGAGAGGGAGAGAGAGAGAGAGAGAGAACTCCTGCAGTTGTTTGGTTGAAACTGCAGTTTCGCACCGGACGTTTATATCCTGTGTGAATGGCTGAGCGGAATTAGTTTCTCTTTGCTCCTGTCATAACAGCCAGCTCCGTATCCTATGTAACTATTTCTGTTTGGTACATGGCGACAGTTCTCATTTTGTGCACGCTTGATTCAACTTATTGCTAATGAGCGCAAGTCGCAGCTTGTACGAGGCTCAGCAGCAGCAAACCTTTTGACAGACCAGAGGCAGCGGACGAAGTTGGATTACTGTTGCGCTGGGGAGTGTGCCATATCCTTGTTTCTCCTGTTTTTTAAAGTTTTATTTTCCCAGAAGAAGTTATGACTTCGGTATGGAAAAGACTGCAGCGAGTTGGTAAAAAGGCTTCGAAGTTTCAGTTTGTGGCTTCTTATCAGGAACTCGTTTTGGAGTGCTCTCAGAAATGGTGAGTTTACAGATATTTAAGAAGCTCTCCTCTGTCCCATTTGCCATGTTTTCATTGCTGGAGCTTAATAACCTCAAGAGGGACTGTTTAGTGGATATTAGTAATACAATAATAAGTAAGACCCCTAATGGGCATGTTAATTTTCATGTTATGATTATTTCCATTACACTAAGAAAGAGCGCGCCCCATATGTCTGTAAACTACATGTGCCGAGCTGACCCGGGGTGACCGTGGGTTGGACACCGGACCCCGCCCACCGGGGCTAACATGTGTCAGTCAACAGTACATCATTAGGGTCTCCGGGACCTGGTGTTTTACAGCGGTAGCAAAAAATAAAAACCGAATTAGCTAACTCCTGGACACATTTGTGGAGGGATGTTATGTCTGCAACACAACGCAGTTTTTCAAACTACTCCCTAGTGTGTGCGCACTTTGCTGTTATTCAAAAACTTTAGTGAGATGGCAGTGATGCAGTGTGGACCATTATTCAGCCCTAACATACACCAGAACGGTCAATTTTAGGGTACTAGAGTCTAGTTGAAAATATCACCAAATATTTTTTATTCAGTGACGTTTTGGGATCACATATTGAATACCTCTGAAATCACTGAGTATCTTGTAAACTACAGTATTCTCTATACATGCATTTTAGAAAGGCTTCTCCATTATCTTAAAACTTTTGCCTTCGTGTCAGTTTGGCCCACATTGCATCAGTCCAAGTAAATATGGCATATTGGTGTAAACATCTTGTCAGGAGCACAGTAAGAAACTCACCTTCTTTTTTCTGCAATAACTGAAGGCCCTCTATCAGTAAAATTACAGAGTTTGATCAGCAGCAGGAAGCTTGTGTTTGTCTGGACATGAACACAGAGGAAAACTGGTTTTGAGTGACAACTCCCATTTGGGCTATGATGAAATCAGGGTTTGTAGGCCTTTACCAGTATGTATGTATGTACAGTAGTTCAAATATGAAGGCAAAGGTCAGAAATCACAGAGAATGTGAGGAGAGAGAGCAAGAGGAAGTGAGGACACGCTGGTCTCTTGTGATGCTCTTTATTTACTGACAGAGGTTGCGACACTTCCAGATGACACCAAACATAAGAAGCAGAAATGAGCTCTGTGGCCACTCAGGGAGCTGAAACAATACATGTTTGTGTAGAACTACATGGAGAATTGGTGCCATGATTTGAGACCATTATACCCAGTTGTTTGTACATGACACTAGTCAAAAATGAAAAGGAAGTGTTGGTAGATACACTCAAGTGGCACAGACCTAATTAAAGACAGCGGGACCATTAACAGGATCATGTGACAAAAACGTGAGAGGTTAGCGAGTCAGCTCAGTTTACTGAATGTAAAATATTCAAAAATGAGGTTACTTAAAACACCCTCTACCATTGCACATTGTTACTGTTCTTACTACATGTTCTTATGTCTTTGTGTCTCCAATTATTTTCTTGTCAACTCTGATGCCTCCTATATTTGCAGTTCTTTTCTACTCTCCCTTCTTCTCTCCCTTCCATTACCCTCTCTCTGCTGCCGTCAGTCTATTTCTAATGTCACCTCTGACCCCCCAACACACATACCTCAGGAACATGTGCACACAGCCATCTTTGCTATAAATGAACAGTGATACAGTGAAACTTGAGACAGTTTTCAACATTTATATTGTGATTAATATTCTAAAGAATGTTTTGAAATGATCATAAAGATAAAACATTTGGAGTTTGCAGTGAGGTTTTTAACAAATATGAATTATTATTGTGTTCTACACTATCTGGGGTGTGTGTGCATGTGTAAAGGGGGTTCCTTCGTCTTGTTTAGAGGCACACCTCGCATTCAGATTGACTCACATCACATGATCCTGCAGCTTCCTGTTACACTTCCTGTGCCACAGAGGCCTGACAAAATACGATAGAATGCTACCAGCACACACACACACACACAAACAGAAAGCACACACTGCCCTTCCGCATATTATATGTGAATTGTGTGGGGTAATTATGTATAAACAGCTGCGTGCACACACAGAGTGTATTTCATCTTTAGAAATACATGCATAGATATAAATAAGTGAACAAACATATCAGCGCCTTGTTTCAAACGCCAAACATGGATGGATTATGAGACACCAGGCCCTGGTGGGTCGCCAACACTAATGAGAATTTTGTCTTTTTTAGTTGTTGTGCACATTTATTTTGTTATTTTGTGTGTGTGTTTGTGGTCATTTTGTGTCTCATTTAAATAAATTTAAATCCACATTTAGTTGTTGTTTTGATTCTCTTTTTAGTCATTTTGCATCTTTTTGTGGTTATTTTTGTCAGTTTTTCTTTTTTTTTTTTTTTTAAATCTACGGGGTTGTTTTACATTTCCTTTTACCCAGTCTGCATTGCTTAGTGACTGCGTTGCATCCTTTTTTTATACTCATTTGGCATCTGTTGACTGTTCAAGTCAAGTCAAGATTTTTATTTTCCATTTATGCATAAACAAACAGTCTAGGTATATAGGAATTCTTGTGCAGCTCTCCTTTGGAGTCAGGTAAAGAGTCAAAAGCCAGAAACAACACTTAGTCTTAAAATAAAAAAGTTACGTAAAGCATTAAAACTGCAATACACAAAAATAGGGTAATAGTATTTTCTCCAGTGAACTTCAAACATCGCACTTAGTAATTCACATGGTGGAGTTGGATATGTCATTACACTTGGTGAGGTAGTGAGGGGTTACTGCACATGTTTAGTAAGGGGTTATTGCACATACAGTATATTCTCACAGTATATTTCTCACATTTTCATTTTTGCCATCGTTCTTACTGCAGCAGGGAAAAAGCTGTTGTAAAGTCTTGTTCTGTGTGTGATGATACTGTCCGCCCTGCTGTGCCTGAGGCTGTAGGTGCAGTTTTTGTGTCTGAGCAGAGTGAGCTGGGTGGCCTGGATCTCTGAGTATGTTCTCCACCCTTTTGCGACAGCGCTGTGTGTACAGTGTGTCCATAGCAGACAGTTCAGTCCCAATTATCCTCTCTGCAGTCTTTATGACCCTTTGAAGAGCCTTCCTCTCTGCCTGTGTGGTGTTACTGTACTAGACTGTGATGCCAGTAGTGAGGATGCTCTCTACCAGTCCTATGTAAGCCTGGGTGAGAGGGCAACGGTTCAGCCCAGCTTTTCTGAGCCGCCTGATGAAGTATAGCAGCTGCTGGGCTTTCTTCATTTTGGCAGCTGTGTTCAGTGACCAGCTCAGGTCAGATGTCACCTGCAGGCCCAGGAATGTGTGACTGTCAGCCCTCTCCACCTCAGTCCCTTTGATAGTCAGAGGCAGCAGAGGGGAGGGGTTCTTCCTGAAGTCTACTATTATTTCTTTTGTGTCATTTATGTTGAAGATGAAGTCATTCTCCTCGCCATAAATAAGAATGTTGTTCACCAAGCTTCTGTAATCTGACCCAGGCCAGGGACCCGAGGCCCAGAACGCAGCATATTTAATGATGATGGTGTTGTCATGTTTGGAGACACAGTCGTGGGTGTATAGGGTGAAGAGTTTGGGGCTGAGACAGCAGCCTCCGGTGAGCCTGTGCAGATTGTGAGCTCAGCAGAAACCCGCCCTCCCATTCTGACCACCTGTGGTCTTTCAGTCAGGAAGTCCAGAATCCAGTTACAAGTGAGAGTTGGAACACCGAGGTCTGTCATCTTCTCAATGAGCCTGCCTGGGCGGATGGTGTTGAATGCAGAACTGTAATCCAGGAAGAGCATCCTAGCATACGTACTGCTGTTGTCCAGGGTAGAGGTTGCTGAGGCTGTCCGGGAGGGTGGCGTCCTGGGGGGCTGTGTTTGTTGATTTGTTCCTGTAGTTTGTGACTGCCTGGATTCCCTGCCACATACTGCGCATGTTGTTATTCATGCAGTAGCTCTCCAGTTTTTGCCAGTATGATCTCTTTGCAGCTCTGATGGACTTCTGTAGCTCATATCGGGCTTTCCTGTACTCCGCTTGGTCCCCTGACATAAAAGCCTCTTGTCTCTTCCTGATTTTCTGTTTTATATCCCTATTAAACCAGGGTTTTTGGTTGGGGAAAACACGCCCCGTTCTAGCTGGTGCTACATTCTGTACAGTTCCTTTAGTGCAGCTTCCTCTTTGCCTGGGGGGCATAAACTGCACTCACAATGATACATTGCAGCTCTATAGGTAAATAAAATGGCCTTAGCTTTAGTGTTAAATATTCCACATCTTCAGAACAGAATTTAGAGAGAATCTCACAGTCTGTGCACCAGGACTGTTTGACGAAGGTGGCCATTCCTCCTCCGCGGGTCTTGCCGCTTTCAGCGCCAATCCTGATCCTGTCTGAACACAGAGTAACCATCCAGAGTTATAGCCTCATCGGACATCTCTTTTCCCAGCCATGTTTCACAAAAACACAGCAGGGAGCAGTCCTGTATGTCCTTCAAGTGAACTGTGACGTCGCACCCCGAGGAGCACCACTGTTGATTAGAGTGTGGATACTAAAACCATGCCCCATGGTACCGGAGGGTTTAGGCCAGGTTTCAACAGAAGTTTAGAAATTGGGTTTGGACACGTAGATCATACTTTAGGCTCAACTAATGCAGCACTCAAATGTCTGCTTCATTTAATAATATGGGGAAAACACTACAAACTCAACTGCATCAGGTTCGAACACCACACTCTCAGGCACGGGTTGGAGTAATGCTTTAGGGCTCCTGTGCTCGGTAGGCCTGTTCAGTACAAGGCATTATCACCTAGTAGTGGTAGTCATAAGACCTTCTGTTTGACCTTGGGTTGTCTCATTTGCATAATATCTACTTTGTTTGAAGACATTATTTGATGAATTTCAAACATGTTGAGATTTCTATCATTTCTAATGTTCAGAAATAGTTTTGGTTTTGTCCTTTCTTCAAGAGAGGTCAAGAGGATAGGGCTCAGTGCTGTGTTTTGATTTGTGTTTGTGTGTTTCTGTAGGCAACCAGACAAACTGAGAGTGGTGTGGACTAGGAGGAACAGGCGTATGTGTTCCAAGGTGAAACCACTGAAACAGCATAAACATACACCCACTTGGCAGTTTGCTAAGAACACCAAGCTAAAACGAATGCAGTCTAATCCAGTAAATCCTCCTTCACGAAGGTGATAATGATCAGTTTGGGTGGAAACTTTGATTCCGTTGTATAGTGTTACATTTATACCTTCATGAAGGTGATAATGATCAGTTTGGGTTGAAACTTTGGTTCCGTTGTATAGTGCCTCCAAAACAGATCGCGACTCAACACTGTCTAAAGCAGTTTAAATAAAAACTGATCATTATCACCTTCATGAAGAGAGGATTTTTTTGCAGGACTGTTGGATTAGACTGCATTTGTTTTAGCTTGGTGTACCTAATAAACTGCCATCTAAGTGCACATACACAGAGGAGCACATACATTCTCTTGTTATTGTGTTGTTTGTGCAGCTCCACAGTTGGCAGCCTGGAATCAAGAACCCCTACAGGGGCATGGTGGTGTGGCCTGTCCCAGAGAACATTGACATCGCTGTTACACTCTTCAAGGTACCAACACACTGTTTATAATGTGCATATCCAGACAGATTGTGAGGTGTTATATCTAAAAAGAGATTACTGAAATATGGACTGTTTCAGGAGGAGACAGAAAGAAAGGAAGAGTGAGAGACTTCATTAGCGCATCAGCTTAAAGCACAAAAACAACACTGACTATTGTGAAACAGCAAACAAACAGCTGTTTCTTTTTTAAAAGTTCTATGTGTTGTTGCCCCACCTATCCCCACTGTCACCAACAATGATGCTTGCTCCTGTCATTATTACTACAGCTTGCTATATTATAACACTTATCAGTGATATTTACCTACTGGTAGATGCAGTTTATTAATTGGCATCATAGCCACTGATAACAGCCATTTAAATGGGAACCTCATGTCTCTTTCTTCCCCTGTAATCCTACCACTGATGCAGGGCATAAGGACTCACTGAGCTCTTTAATTGGTATGAAAATGATGTCACTTATAAGCTATGGCCTTCAAAGTCACGAGATCTCAATTCACTATGTGTTCATTCTTACAGTAGAGTTCAGAGTACTTTATTAATCCCAGTGGGTAATTATATCATTACAGCAGCCAAGAAACACATGAATCACAGAACAAAATATAACATAACGAAACATAGAGATAAATAAGAAGATAGGAAATAAAAAAACAATAACTAAACACTACAACCTGAACTATAAAAACAACTGGGACTACAAATACTAGCACTTGGAAATATTCTGCATGTGTTTAGTTCAAGTCTAATAGATATTGTATATTGTTATGAAATTGCAAGGTTCTTCATTAGAACTGCATTAATGAGTACTGGGAAGAAATATACAGTGTTAAGAAAAATATTGGGTATAATAATAATTCTATGTTGTGACACAAATAGAATATGTGACCAAATTCATGTATTTGAACAAATGTGAACAAGGAACTGGATCGGTGTACTGGACCAGGTAGATGCATGCATTCATCCATGGATCTTCTAAACACACTGCATTTTTGTTTTCACCTCTTCAGGAGGCCAATGCTGATGAGTTTGAGGACAAAGAGTGGACCTTTGTTCTTGAGGGTGTAAGTACCTCTGAACTACTTTTCCAGCAAATATTTACTCAGTAAAATGACCAGACTAGTATAATTCTGGCATCCTGTTTCAAAAATGAGATTGTCTAATCACCAAAATAGAAATAAAGGAATACAGTTCAATATATAACTGTGACAGATCAGATTTTACAGTGGCTGTTTCTGTCGGACCTGCACAGGAGAACAGAGGGCGCCGAAAGGTGCTGGCATCAGCAGACATCAATCTGAAGCGGTTTGCCAGTCCGACGCCGACCCAGACTGACCTGATGCTGAGGCTGAAGCCGCTCTCTGTCAAAGTGATGGAGGCCACGCTCAAGCTGTCGCTGTCGTGTGTCTTTGTTCGTGAGGGGAAAGCCACGTGAGCAGGAGCTTTAGTTATTTTCCCCTCTGCTACCATTTAGTACATCTGTGCAGTGTTGTTATGACAAGAGTATTTTAAGATACGACCACGTGTTAATTGATAGCTTTTTCATGTTTATCTTTAAAGATGATGTGGCACTGTTAATCCCATACAGTGGTGCTTCAACTGTATAGACTTGAAAATGGACACTGAAGTGTCTCTTTTATAATTGTGTATAACTATAGTGAGTAATAATTTCAGAAGTCCTCCTTGCCAAAAAAATATTTAAAATGGTTGAAAATGTTTCTAATAGTTTCCAAAAATTCAAACATGCTTGAAATGCTGACCATATCATTTGTCATAAGGAGTGTTTCATACTTTTGCAGATGTGATCTGAGAGAGTTAGTCATAACAATGTGATAAATGTCTGTCCTTAGTGATGAAGACATGCAGAGCCTGGCCAGCCTGATGAGCGTCAAACCCGCAGACATTGGCAACCTGGACGACTTCAATGAGAGTGATGAAGAGGAGGACAAGAAGTCTGTCACTGCTACAGGTAGGCAGATATACACCAACACCATCTTTTCTGTCTGTTCTTCTCTGTCAGTTATTTTCACCTCTGATACTCGCTGATATTTCTTCTTCAACCACTCCTTCTTCTCTGCTATTTTCTCTTTCCTGGCTGCTGCAACAGCTCCACACACTCTAACTCGCCCAAATCGCCCCGCTCCCCCTCCACCTGACAAACGAAACTCTACTGGACCCACTTTCCCAGCTTCAGGTAGCTCCTTCATGCCCTTTCTTTACTTCCTCCTGTCATTTGTTGTTCTGGCCAGAGCAAAGAAGTCATAAACAGGAACCCTCTCATTCTCTGTTACTGTGCTTCACACAGTGGTGTCATTTGTCCTGCAGTCCCTCCCACAGCTGCTTCTCTGCATGACATATTTCTCAACCAGACATTAAAAACTGTAGAGAATCATGTGATGATACCACCAGTGTATTTTGTTGAAGTTTGTTTGTATGCATGAAAAGCTCCATCTGCAGTACATCAAATGGAGGTTATTGTGTCCAGAGAGACAAAAGGGGAACATTAATTGTAACAGCAGCTTAACTGTGAAATCAGCCTACATGTCCCTCATATTTTTACTGTGTGTAAAGTTATATGTTCATGGTACTTTCCAAATGCTATTGCTGCTTTTACTGTACTATACAGTATGTCCTTGAGGTTCCTCCTTTAATGCTATTGCTGCTTTTACTGTACTATATGTCCTTGAGGTTCCTCCTTTGGCTGGTACAGCAGTGGACTGAAATGTTGATCAGACTAAATTCTTAATATTTTCAGAGGTGGAAAGTAACTAAGTACATTTACTTGTGGTACTCAAGTACTGTACTTGAGAACAGTTTTGAGGTATCTGTCCTTTACTTGAGTATTTTCATTTTCTGCTACTTCATACTTTGACTCCACTATATTTATTTGATAACTTTAGTTACTTTTTAGAATCAAATTAATAAAACAAAATACAGTATAATCACAAGAGTTTACTAGAAAATTCACAAGCTACATAATGAGTACTTTTACGTTTAGTACTTTATATATATTTTGATGTTAATACTTTCGTTCTTTTACTTAAGTAATATTTTGAATACAAAACATTTACTTGTAGTAGTTTTTTACTCTGTGGTATTGATATTTGCTTAAGCAAACAACCTGAGTACTTCTTCAGCCACTGAATGTTTTAAAACTAGTAGCAAAGAAGTAATACATTGTTAGCTTTTAGACCAGTTGTGAAAGAAGTATGATTATATTGTATACATAAGACAAAAGCACACAGTATTAAAAGCCAAATGTGTCAAAGATAAAAAAATGCATTACACACTCTGCCCCCATCATACTGTGATGTGCACTATACTACAGGATTATTATCACTAATGCGTTAGTGTGTGTGCAGCATTTTTGTTGCAGCAAATCAAGGTGATTTTAAATGCTTTATAAAATCAACAAAAACTTGGGCTATTATTTTTCTTCTTTATTGTAGTTTTCTATACATAAAGCAGCATCTTGTACTTGAAATTCAGTGACGGTTAAGCTCTTTATTTGTACTTTGGGGTGCCTATCAGTTGCAGATGTCTTTAAAATGATGAGAAGAAATGTCAAGTGCTGTAGATGATATTAAATGGGCTATAATTCCATCACCATTCATCACAGTTTCAGATTTTCAGATATCACTCAAACAACAAGTCATGTGATCCTCATGACAGCAGCACAATGAACTGTCATGGGATCCTGATAGTAATTTAATTTGCACAAGTGTCATTTCATTTTCACTTTTAATTCATGACCTTTTCCTTCTGTCTCTCTCATTCACCTACTCTCACTCATCCATCCAACCAACCAACCAACCACCCTGCCATCTATTCATCAGCCTGTGGACGTGATGGCAATTCTCCCAGTCCTGTCATTCACTCCCGCCCTCCTCTACCTATTGCTCCTCGCCCCTCGCCCCGCTGTTCCCGACACCCCATCTCCAGTGCCCCTGTTCAATCAGAACTCCAGCCTTCCCCTGGCCCCTCCCCTCAGCCCTCACCCAGGTCCAAGCATAAAAAATCAGTCAACCCTTTTCTTTCTGAGCCTCCTGCTTTATCTGACTCACAGTCAAGCCCTCCAAACTCCCAGGTCACAGCAGCTACTCCCTCCATCCAGATTGCGTCCTCTGTCCTGCCTCTCTCTGTTGTGTCTCCTGCAAATCCTCCATCACCCAAATCCTCCAAGACACCCATAATCACCCCTGCCTCCTCCCCCCAGCCCCCATCTCCCAAATGCTCTGAATCTGTGTCTACATTACCTTCAGCTGCAGTGCAGCCTTCTTTAGCAATTCTTTCAAATTTGCCCATATCCAGTTACTATGAAGGTCTTGCACCCTCTAACCCATTCCTCAAGCCTCCTTATGCACCTGTAACAAGCATTGCTTTTTTATCTCCTAAGGTTTCCTCCACATCAACTGAGAATATCATAACATCATCTTCCACAGCTCCCCAAAAGTCTTCTCTCAACACTCTGACCCATAAGCCCATCTTTACTGCCCCCCAACTACTTCCCTCCAAATCCCCTTCTCCCCTAGAGCCCACCCTGTCCTTAGAGTCCCCGTCCACTCACCCTCCACTTACTCGGACTCTCTCTCAGCCTCCCTCCCTCCCCAGAATCTTCCAGTCAGGCTCAGCAAAAGGTATCGACAGGCTGGCAGAAAGGCATGCTGCATGCTTTCTACTGACTGTTTCCATGTGTGTGATGGGCTAGTTCTCACATCATGTAGCTTCATGATACATTACCATTGTGCTGTGTGGTGTGATGTGAGGAAGCTCTAAGCATGATCACATTGTCATGATATCAGAGTTTTAACTGTGACACCAATGTGCTGAACAAATGAACGTTCTGTCGATGCTGCACAGGCAACAACAACAAAAGAGAGTTTTGTAGTTTGGATATGCTAATTTGGTGTTTGTTTTTATTTGTTCTATATTTGACCTCTTAACCCTTGGGAAGTTCTTGATGCTACAGCTGTGTTTTCAGTGGTGTAACTGGCTGTTTCCAACTGTAACTGTAGGGACCATTTAACTATATTCCAAGTTGCTCAGATTAGCTTAGTCTTTGCTTAATTTAATTGAATGTATTTTTCTTGTTAAGTAAACCATAGTCCTCACAAGTCTGGGAGGCTCCAAAACACAGAATGACATTTTGTTTAATGATTTAAATCCTACCACCAGGGAGCTGAATCTGATCAAAAACTTAGACAGGTCCATCACTAATTTGATCTTCTACTCCTAATTACAGAATGTTACATGATACCGCGCACTGTCACATGTTGTGATAGGATAAACCACAGTCAAAAGCTTTTTTTGATCCATGCTAACATCTTATTAGCACTACTTTATTTCTAAACTTCTACACATAAACATGTAATAACAAATATAAACTTACTGTACTGTACTCTAGCATAGTCCACACACAATTCACTACTCAAATTATCCATAAATTAAATAGGCTAATTAAATGATACTTAAAAAGACCTGTATTCAATACAAGTAATCCTGTGTTTAACCGATCTTCATCTACAGTACATATTGTATTAGACTCTGAGATGTGAATGAACTACAAAACAGACTACTTGGAGTTAAAAGTATAATACAATTAAACACAGAATTCTGTCTTTTAATGATGTTGTAGTAACAGCATTTTGAACACTTTGGTAACTCTTATTATTGGACTGCTAAACTAAGCCAGACTGAGTTGCTGTAAGTTCCTGATCACAGCTGAGAGACTGCTGTAAACAGCTTGTTCCTGACAGATATAAATTACATTGTGGTATAATTGTGATACGAAATCAATTGTTCCCCTTTTCGCTTTTTGCCTCTGGCTGACTACAATAGAGTTTCCTCTACTGTTTATTACTTCTCTCTCCACACCTTCTCTGCTCTCTTCTCATCAGTTCCTGTTACATATCAACGGCGCCCCCAAGAGGTTCAAATCACAGATGATCCTGCTTCAGTGTCTGGTCTGTCTTTGCTGTTTGAATGTCTAAACTAAGCTAAGGCTAATTTACTCCTGATATTCTTTTTGAATATAAAAAAAAATCTGTTTTCCCTTTTCTTTGGCCTCATCTATTTGCTTTTATCTTTCTTCACCTGTCCTATTAGTTCGTTCCCACATTTTCAGGCCTCAGATTGTCAAGTCAATCGACCGCCCCACTTCTCCCTCACCTTTTTTTGCTGATGCTTCTCCTCTGGCTTCAACACCTGATGCCCCCAAATCTCTCCCCTCTAGCACAAAGTCAGGTATTGTCTCAAATGTGATAGAAATAATGTAACTTTGTGCTCTTTACTCTAACATTTCCATTTATCTTCTTGTTTGCATTTTTAAAATCATCTTTGCTGACCCTCCCACTTCTGCATATCCTGCTTCAGCTTTAATTTCCTGACCTTTCACTCCTTGTTTCCTAAGAATTCTTTCATCTAAGCTCCCTTTCCACCTCTCTGCCCTCTGCTTTCATCTTAAAACTAATACGTCTGCACACTTTTTTCACTTAATCTTTTTTTTTTTTTTTACTTTCACTGCTGCTTTCCTCAGGTGAACACAGAGCCTGGTTGACATCTGACTCTGCTCTGACTGGAGGCGACATCACCCCTATCCCTCTGTTGAGCAGTCCTGACCTGGATGCTCTCTGTGACCCTGCGGTTCCATCCCTCCCTGCCTCCCTTCCACGCTCATCACCCCCTCGCTCCTCTTCTCTTTCCACCTCTGTTTTATTCTCCTTTCCTCCCCCTCAGTTCATTCTCTCTCCTTCAGCTCCTCCTGCTCTGATCAGCTCCTGTCAGTCAGGTACACTGGCCAACTAATCAAATGTTTAGTTCCCTTCAGTGATTTCAACGGCTGTTGTCTCACACTATCTAAAGTGTGAAAATGTTTCTTTTGGAAGTGTAGTTCACCACACTTTCCCTTCACCTTTGCAAAGGTGTCTCCTACTGTGTGCTTTGTTATCTGACCTTACTTTGTCTCTTTATAGGTTCGACATCCCCTCCAAGTCAAGTAGACAAAGAAACGACTCCAAAACCTCGGAGCCATGGTGAAGAAGTGCCCAAGGTCACAATCACCAACCAGCCAATCAGACCAGCCCAGGACATAAAGATGTCCATCAACGAAAACAAAACTGAACCAGAAAGAATCAGGTGAGGTCAGATGAGTCTATGCATTTAGATTGTTTGGTTAGGCTCCCATAGATGTCTGGCCACGAATTGCTGTGTGAGGAGAAAATGTGTGCATGATCACAGAACTAAAGAGGCATCCTGAAGCCCTGCAGCCCTGGCAGCGCTCAGGACAAACAGCATGGATGACAACACTTGTGTAGATTGGAATATGAGCCTTCTCAATTTGAACTGACTCCTGAAGCACAGAAGGCACATCTACACAGGCTGAGAAGGGCTGCCTGCTTGATATTGCAGGAATGTAACAGTGTTTTTGCTTGTCTGTTTTTCATCAGTTCAGATTGGAGGATACCACTCACATATCTCTGTTAAATATAAAGCTACCACCAGCAGGCTATTTTAGCATAAAGACTGAAAACATAGGCAAACAGCTAAGTACCGGTATATCGTGCAACACTACTGAAAACATAGGCAAACAGCTAGCCTGGTTATGTTGGTTCATAAATGGTTAAGGTAACAAATCACTGGTATTGATTGCCATTTCTTATTTATACAACTGTTTTGCTGGCCAGATGCAGCAACTTCACCACTGTTGCAACCTGGCATCGCCAAGGAATAGTCTCCCACAAAACCTTTCATAAAACCACAAATTGTCATGGACTAAACAGATGAGATATAACCTGTTGATTATCAAGGTAGAAGGATTTGGTTACCTTTGGACAGAGCCAGGTAGCTGTTTTCAGTATTTTTGCTAAGCTAACCGACTGATGGCTGTAACTTTATTTATTTACAAGACAAACAGGACAGTGGTTTCATCTAACTGTTGGCAAAAGTGAATTTTACTACTCCTTTAAGTCACACTGCTGTTTATTTCCTAAGCTAATTCAGCACTCTCCATGCTGTTGATACTGTGGTAGTTTGGACATCATTTGCTTCAGAGTGCATGACAGATTGGTAAGAAAACCAAGAGGAGCTCTTTGTTTCTTCTTTTATTTCAAATTTTATATTTTGCATAAGGACAATTTACAGTAACATAATAAGGACCCTTTAGTATTAATCAGCACATTGTAGAACTAATATGGTCCAAATGACTCCAAGAAAACCCACTTAGTACTTAGACAAACCTGTTTCATATGGTCTAGTAGCAGTTTATCCATGTTTGCCCAATAATCAAGAGTCTTATTGAGCCACAGTTACTCAAAGCCTCATGGTTGCTTTGTACTGCTGTTTGTGTTTTCTTGGTGCTAACATATGCTAACAGTCGCAGTGTTTTGTGCCCTGCCTCTGACACAGCATTCGAATAATTATCAGGCTTGTAGTTTCTTGTCTTGCCCCTCATCACCTTCTGCACGCTTAGCATTACAAACTATCAATCACTTGTCTCTGAGCTTGACTGGTAATATTTTTGTCCCCAGTCCTTCCCAGTCTCGCTCAGAGCTGATCATAGCCCCACCCCCGCCATGGCCCTTCTCTTGCTGTGAGAGCTCCACCCTTCAGCGGCCCTCCACAAATGTTGTAGCGGCTTTTATCACTCCTAAACAGCCAAGCGTTCTGGGAGAAAGTGATTTGAAAAAGGCATCCCATTTGATGCAGGGTAGTGTTAACACCTCAGAGACCAAAAAGCCACCACTGGCTAATCCTGAGCCCAAGCCTGACTTTGACGACATCATCTTTGAGTCATTTAGCCTAGAACAACATTCAGGGGCCTTGTTTCTGGAGGAGGATGACTCTAAGCTGGATACTATCAAAAGGTGTCCTCCTGGGTGAGTATTTATATTCACAGGTTGAGCCAAGATCCAGAAAATCAAAAATAAAGTGGCAAAAAAGTGAACTGGTGGACCTGGTGATGATAAAGCACACACAGACACAGACTTAGGATTAAGGAATATTGTTTATTTGTTCTGCAGTCTTGAACAGAAAACCAATGAAAAGGCCAGTGGAGAAAAAACGTCACTGACAGAGCAGTTAGAGGGAGCGACAGTGGAGAACGAGGTGATGACGAAAGCAAAGCAGGAGAAGCAGATGGAGAAAGAAAATCTAAAAAAGCAAGAGGATGAAAGGAGAAGGAAGGAGGAACAAGAACATAAAGCAATGCTCCTGAAGCAAGAGCAGGAGGAGAGGAAAAAGCACGAAGAGAAGAAGAGACTGTTGGAGGAGGAGAAGAAGAAGCTCTTGCAAGAGGAGGAGGAGGTCAAGAAGGAGAAGGAGAGGAGGAAACATGAGGAGGAACGACTTCTGAAGGAGAAGAGAGAGAAACAGGAAAAACTGAGGGAGGAAGAGGAGAAGAGGAAGGAAGAAGAGGGGAAGAGGAAACGAGAGCAGGAGAGGAGACTCCTGGAGGAGGAGGAGGAGGAAAAGGAAACCCTTCAGAGGGAGGAGGAGAGGAGACTTGAGCGAGAGAAATTCATGAGGAAAATAAAGGAGGAAGAAGAGAAAAGAATGGAGGAGAGGAAAATGCTTGAGGAGAAAAGAAGAAGGAGCATGAAAGAGAAACAGAGGGTCCTAGAGGAGAAAGAGAGGAGGAAAATGGAGGAGAAACGTTTGGAGGAGGAACAGAAGCAACAGAAGATGAAAGATGAAGAAGAACAGAGAAAGCTGGAAGAGATGGAGAAAAGGTGTCTACAAGAGGCAGAGGAGAGAAAGAGAAAGGAGGAGGAGAGGAAAGCAGAAGAGAAAATGAAAAAAGAAGCAGAAGAGAAGGAGAAAAGAATCAGAGAAGCAGAGGAGAGAAGAAAGACAGAAGCAATGCTAAAAGAGAGACTCCTGAAAGAGGAGAAGGAGAGAGAGGAAAGACTCTTAAGGGAGGAGAAACCAAGCTCTGCCTCCGTAAACTCCACTGAGCGGTAAGTTACAGCACTGACATAAAACGTAATGTGGGTGTTGACTGTTTCTGTACCTGACATGGCTGCTTACTTAATCACAAATCAAATCGGTGTTAGCCTTAAAATTTGGGACATGACTTTAAAGTCATTTTTTGCTGCTTTAAACATATGTCATTTAATATTTCTATTTTGATTATTTTTCTTCTACTGTGGTGATTATTTTGTGATTCTCTGCTCATGTAACAGTTCACTGATTATATATGGGTAGGGTTATTGATACCACCAATACTAAATCTTGTATTGAAAAGGGTTAAAACTAAAAATTGGCATGTTTACCAGCTGCTTCTAATAATAAAAAGTGCTGATTCAATACATTTTGTGGTATCACCCACCCCTACTATTTTTTTTACTCTGGTCTCATTAATGTTCTTCTACCTGTTCCCTTTTTTCTATTTTCCATGTTTTCCTCTTTCTCTTCCCTCACTCCAGTTTGGAGCCACCCTCTCTCATTAAAGAACGCTCATTGTCAAACACTGTTGCCCCCCAAAACAAATTATCTGTCACATGCACTCCACCTGGCATCTGCTCAGGCCCCACTGTTCAGCTCTATGCCCAGGATAAACCAATCACATTAGAGGTCTTGACCCTGGTGCCACCACCACAGAGGCTATTTGATGCAGAGACCCCTCTATGGAAAATGCTAGAAGACAGAAGTGAGAAAGAGAAACCTGAACAAATCTTTGTCAAGGAGGGTGCAAAACTTTTGTGTAGAGGGTAAGAATGGATGAGGGGATGTCTGTCTGTCTGTCTGTCTGCGTCCTCTACTGTATCTCCCTGTCTGACTGTCTATTCTGGCTTCTTACTGATATAGCTGGTAGTGCTGACTGTATCATTCATGTGTTTTATCTTCTCTCCTAGCTCACACAATGAAGATGCTGCTGAGGTAGACAGCTCTGTCAGGCACAAGCAGCAGCCAATCACAGCCAAAGACTCAGAAACACATCACATAGCCCCACCACCTGCTCAGCCCAGTGCACCAGCAGTTAAAGAGACATTCAAAGAGCCAGAGGGACCCAGCATGGAACCCGCAACCTCACTCCAAGTCTCCCACAAACCACCAGCTGAACGCACAGCTCTGGCACTGGAGACCCTGCTGCCCTCAAAGCCAGAACCAGTTCTCCAGTCATTAGGAAAACCACAGCAGCAAACATCCGATGAGGAGAAACCAGCTGATGCCATAGCTGGTGGTCAGCAGAGTTTCATCAACAACAAGGAACCAGTGTGCGAGGCGGAAAAGCAGCTGTGGGCAGCTGTGGAGGAGACCACAGTGGAGACAGGAGCAGAAAACGGGATGGAAAGTAGTGAGAGCACTGAAGCAAAGGATGAGAAGGAGGAGGAAAGAGGGGGGTGAGTCAGTGACGGTTCCTTGCAGCTTTTGCAACATGGCATGATATGTTTGTTCTCCACTCACAAAATCCACCACATTAAAACACTTACTCACCTGCATATGTACTGACTAACATTCCTCTGTGGTGCTTAACCAGTACATTAACCCCATCGGATGCTGCCTTCTTCCTCTTCACCGCTGTCTTTGCTGTTAGCCTGAATAAATGGAACTGATTTGATGAGAGCTTTTCACTAAAGTATGTGTCTGTGTGTTGTTATATGTGGTAGTGCACAGATAGGGGCAGATGTGTGTGTTGCAGAGCAGCAGAAGGAGGCGCCTGCTGGCTTCATATTACTAGTACATGGGCTGTTGTATAGAGGGTCTGCCTGCCTGTGCGGTCAAATTATTTAATATGTAATGCAGAATGCAAAAATGTGTTTGTCAACTAAGTGCAGATAGTGTTGGAGATTTTAATAATGCATCAAATACAGTAAAATATTCCTGCAAGTGTTACACAAAGCCGATGCTGTAAACACAACAAAACAAGACCTTATTACTTTACCAGTGCCCTCATGGTACTGTAGCAACAGTATAGTTTTATGATGTGATGTTTGGAGTTGTCAGATTATTAAGTACTACATACATTTAAAACCAATTATGTTAAAATGTAAAAGTTTAAAGATTTTTACTGCTTTATCAATCTATTCCGGTATTTTATTACATTTGATGCATATTTAAGTTGTTATTGTATTTACACAACACTATTATCAGTTCCTTTCTGTGTTTCCCACAGTGTTTCCTTGTCAGTCTTAAGACTGAGGGACACCTTATGTGCCTAATCAGTTTGGTGTTTAACTGCATTGTATACAACCTACCAGTGATTAGAATGCACCACCCTGGTTTTGGCAAAGTTTGATAGTGCAGTTGTTTTGCTTATTTGGTTAAAATCGACTCTGTGTTCTGCCACAAACCAGCTGTCACAGAGAATTTGTTTTGTGCATACTTATCAGTTAGCTGTGTTTCTCTCTCCGAGCTGATCTGAGCACTCACATGCACGGCACTAGCAAATGTTTTACCAGGTCTTAATCATGCCACAGACAACCTAATTGGGCTTTAGTATTTTGTGGAACAAAAGTGTTGTGTGCTTCTCGGTGTAACAAGCATTAAATGTTTTATATGTGCTTTGGACAAGCACCAAAACAAAGTCTGCAAGGGAGCTACTTAATCAAGTATGCTGTCTGGCTTTCTGTCACATACACACAAATGCAGGTCATTTTAGGGTGAGCTCTGTCTCAGAGTTTTCCTGTCTGTTCCTTTAGCTATGAGACAGTGGCCTCCATCCTGCACACGACTGGATCCATTGACGCAGGTCATCCACTCCGCTCTGCAGAAGAGCCATGTGTCCTTTTAAGTAATGAAGCTCAGCTATGTGTACATGAAGCAGAGGCCAAGATTCTGTATTCCTCTGAGCCAGATGATGGTGCACTGATTTCCAGTGGCTTGGACGTTTCGCCACCTACAGCCTTTTCTGACACAACAGAAAATCAGACGATTAGTAAAGAAAAGGTTTCCAGTGTTGAATTTACCCAGAAACCAGAGCACGTACCTTTAGAGGAGACACCAGTGCTGAGTCTGGTGGCAAGTCTGCGACTGGCAGCCAGTGAGCAGGAGAAAGAGAGAGAGCAGGAGAGGGAGAGAAGGGAGCAAGAAAGGATAGAGAACCTGAGGAAGAAGGAGACAGAGGTGGCAGAAAGGGAGGAGAGAGTTAGGAAGGAAAGAGAAGAAGTAGAGAGGAAGGAGAAAGACAGAATGGAGAGAGAAAAGGAGGAAGAGAGGATTAGAAAGGAGAAAGAAGAGATGGAGAAGCAGGAGAAAGAAAGGATGGAGAGGGAAAAGGAAGAGGAGAGAAAGAGGTTAAAACAAGAGAGAGAAGCACTTGAGAACAAGCAAAGGGAGGAGAGGGAAAAGGTGGAAAAAGAAAGG